CCCGAGGATTTCCATGAGATCCATCTCGGGTCGTTTATGTGATGATCAGCACTTGGGCATCCAGTATCACTCCAGACATGGCCCATCTCCCATCTCCTGGCGAGCTGTACCTTCTTACTTTGTACATCAGTTCCCAATATACACCCGGTCTCGCCGGGGCGGGGGAAGGCTAGTACAAACGAGTATAATCTAACAAGTATAATCTAGCACTATATATTCCATACAAGGAATGGCACGAATTCTGTTTACTCCCCATATCAGAGGACGGAGCATGCCGGGCCGGCCGTGTCCCTGCAGCGGCTCCGGTGCTAGGTGGTGGTGTTGCATCGCTCGGGGATGCTCGGGGATGCTCGCAGGAAGGGCTGCTTGATATGCCGGGCATGAAGAAGGCTTGGGCGGTCAATGTCCCCTTGAAATCCCCGTGCCAGGGGCTGCCGCGCCCTCACACACCCTCCCTCCCGCAGGGAGAAGGAGCCCTGGGTAATTTAGCGCAGGAAAGGCTCCTGGAGAGGCAGATCTGCTGGAAAGATCCTGAAATCAGCCTCAGAGGTGGGAGCAGGGAAGTCTATTGTCTGTGTGACATTATGGTTCTGCCTCCACCATCCCACCTGCCTCTCAGAGGGGGATTTTTTCTGATGGGTGGCGTTTTACTACTGGTTGGGTTGCTCCCTCAATTAAAACAAACAAACAAACAAACAAAAAAACCCCCCACCAAAACAAAAAAAAAAAAACCACCAAAAAAAAAACCCCAAAACCCCCACACTTTGGAGCAGTTATTGCATCCCTGGAGCAGTTCAGGGCAGGTGGCACTGGAAGGACAGGTGTGCCCTTTTAAGCCACAGGCTCTCCAGCTCTTCCTCCAGCACATCCTCCAGGATGGGATAGCACTGCTCCAGGATGGGTGACACTGCTTCAGGATGGGTGACACTGTTCCTGGATGGGGTGGCACTGCTCCAGGATGGGTGACACTGCTCCAGGATGGAGTGACACTGCTCCAGGATGGGTGGCATTGTGCCTGCATGGGGTGGCACTACTCCAGGATGGGACAGCACTGCTCCAGGATGGGTGACACAGCTCCTAGATGGGTGACACAGCTCCTGGATGGGGTGATGCTGCTCCTGGATAGGGTGGCACTGCTCCAGGATGGGTGACACTGCTCCAGGATGGAGTGACACTGCTCCAGGATGGGTGGCATTGTACCTGCATAGGGTGGCACTGCTCCTGGATGGGACAGCACTGCTCCAGGATGGGTGGCACTGCTCTAGGATGGGGTGACACTGCTTCAGGATGGGTGACACTGCTCCAGGATGGGGTGACACTGCTCCTGGATGGGGTGGCACTGCTCCAGGATGGGGTGACACTGCTCCTGGAGGTTTGGGTTCCTCTGCAGGGCTTTCAGCATCTTCCCTGTTGGTCCTCCCCAAGGTGGGTGCTGGTACCAGTGCAGGGAGGACAGGGCAGGGGCTGGGGGGACCATCTCCCCCTTGGTGGGTCCCAGCAGTCCCAGAGCAAGGAACTGTTTGCTCTCACAGCCTACATCCCTCACAAAGGAGCAACTTCCTCCCCTAATTGGATAGATTCCTGCCCACAGCTTTCCCAAAATCCCAGCCAGCACCCAGCAGCTGCCTGGGGCAGCTTTCCCAGGGAAGTGCTGGCCATGGAGCTGCCCAGCCAAGGGCACCAGGGGATTCATGCCCTCTGTGCCCCCAGCAGCTCTGCCCAGCACCCATCCACAACCACAACTCCCTGAGCCCAATGCCAACTTCACCCTGGTGCTCTGGGGACAGGGATGGTCCCAGCTCCGGCACCACCTGATGGACCTTCCCCACTTTGGCCATCTCCTGGGTCCCTGCAGGGAGAAAAGGCCTGTGAGGGTCAGAAAGGAGCTGAGGCCCCAGCATGGAAGCAAGTCCTGATCCACACCTGCTTTTCTATATGGGAAGCAGGGACACAACTGTCCTTAGGGGATGGCACCAGCCCTTGGAGAACACCAGCCCTGACCTCAAGGCCACTGGCTGGAGGATGTCAAAGGGGTCACAATGCCCCCCTTGGGCATTTGCCAGCAGCCAACCCTGGTTTAGGGCTGTTTTTATTTTCTGCCTGCCTTAGGGAGCAGAAATCCCCCATTTCCTTCTCCTGGATTGCAGTGGAGGATCCACAGCAGGCCCAGAGGCACAGAGCTCCTGGTTTGTATGCAGATAACCACTAGCATAGTTTGAAGGAGACAAGGGCATCCCTTTGCTGTGAAACTTGCTGGAAATCTCATGTAAATCTCATTCCTTTGGGATCTGGCTGCGATGCCAAGGGACAATTTTGGTTTGTGAGCTGTGTTGACAGTGGAAGGACTGGAAGTGTCCAGCCCATGGCTCATGTGAGGGGAACACAGCCAGCTCCCTGTGAGGCTCCATGGCTGTTAGAGGGGGAGACAGAGAAGAGATTGTGCTCTGAAGGGATGGAAGTTATGAAAAATGTATCTACATCCAAATCGATTCACTTCAAAATGCCATCATTACCTTCAGCTTTGTTTGCTGAGAGAAGTTGGATCTGTATAGAAACAGACTGGGCATCACAGATCATTCTTTGGTAATTTTTTGGCAATTTTTCCTCTCTCTGCAGAACATTATTACGAAATGCATTCAAAACCAGGGCAGAAAAGAGCAAATTGAGCATGGAGATTCCCCAAGAGCTGCGCTCCTTCAGCTGACCAGACCTGAGAGGGGCCAGCTGAGGGCTTTTCCTTCCCACAACACAATCACCTGGCCATCAGGTGCCATCCTGCCACACCCCACGTGTCACTCAGATCTGATGACAAGGAAAAGATGCTCACTATTGGAATTTAAAGCATTGCTCTGATGAGTGACACCCCGGTGTGTGATTCATGCTGATGATATTCATGCAATACTTTGTGTTTAATGAGAGCCAAATAGAGTAAACATCACAGGATGGGCTTGAAATGGGGCTTGAAATTAGGCTTAGTCTAAACTCAGCAAATATTTTAAGGCTGCTTAGAGTTAAACGTCTGCTTAAACACTCTTAATTAATGAGCCAAGGACTTTTTTTTCCCCATTATTATTATTTCACTTGTCTTCTTTTCCTGAGTGTTCATGGCCTAGGGCTGCTGCCCAGGATGGGAGCTGAGGTAAAAAGGAATGAGAAGATGGGAATTTGGCAAAATGGGTTTGCAGCCACCTCTTCCCCTCACCAGCCAGGGAAGCTCCCTGGATTTTTATTCATCACTGGGGTGTCTTCCAAAGGGCAGAAGACGTGACAGCAGGTATAAAGTCTGCTGGTGACAATTTTGGGTCTTCTCATGGCCATGATAGGACACAACTTCAGTCATTTCTGGTGTTACTTTCCTTGATAATTTAATCATGGAATCCCAGACTGGTTTGGGTTGAAGAGGACCTTAAAGCCTATCCAGTCCCAGCCCCTGCCTTGGCCAGGGACACCTCCCACTATCCAAGGGTGCTCCAAGCCCTGTCCAACCTTGTGGGCTTTTTATGGCCACACTCTCATCCATGCTCAGAGAGTAGATTTAGATGGGATCTTGGAAAGGAATTTTTCCCTGTGAGGATAGTTAGGCCTGGCACAGGCTGCCCAGAGAAGCTGTGGCTGCCCCTGGATCCCTGGAAGTGTTCCAGGGCAGGTTGGACAGGGCCTGGAGCAACCTGGGATAGTGGAAGGCGTCCTGGGCTGAGAGCAGACATCCATAAAGCAGATGCTCCCAGAGTTGCCTGGATATGGGTCCATCTCTGTCCACAGGCATGCCCTGGAGGGCACAGGAGGGGTGAGGACACGGGAAAAACATTACCTCCTGTCATGCTCCTGCTCCAACAACCACCACACTCAGCTTGGCACCACCTGGCCTTACACTGGAGTGACTCTGGGGGAGCACAGGGCAAGGAGAAGCCCCTTGCCCGAACACAGGAGCACACAAACCCTGTGTGCAGGGGGCTCCCTTCTCCTGCTGAATCCCAAATTCTGAGCTGCAGCCAGCTCAGCGCTGCTGTGTTTGCAGGAGATAGCATTGTGCACATGACAAACATTGGATGACGGAGACAGATCCCCACCTTTCTGCTCCCGAGTTAAAACCAGCTGTTCCGAGAGACTCGGCAGAGATCTGCAAGCTGGGCTTCTCCTTAGGGAATTGGGTGGATTGGCATTCTCCTGGGAAAGAGAGTATCTGGAAGGGGATTGCTCACTGGGAGCCCTGTTGGGATTAAATGGGATTTTTGCCCAGCTGGACATGGGTGACCACCTCATGTCTGTTGAAATCCATTTATTTAAGAGGGATTTGGGAACCTGGAGGACCATCCCTATCCTTCCATAGTGTCTCAGCATTTTCTTTCCAGGCACACTTTCTACAGCCAGGATTGACCTGGGAGGATGGGGCAGAGCAGCCACTTCCTGCCAAAAGCCAAAGTTAAACTGTGGGAGCACAAACCTTTGGAAAATGTACTCATTTTTCAGGGAGAAGTGAGCTCAGAGCAGTGATGGTTTATGAACTCTTTTATTTTCACTCGTACTGAAGTCCCTCTCAAAAACGTAGGGTGTAAAGTCCATGTGAGGAAAACACCAGGAAAAGACGCTGGTTTGGGTTTCTCCTCTTTTGCCCTGGAGGCTCCAGTCCAAAGTCTGTTGTGCTTCCAACTTTTCTGACGTGGGAAGCTGCCAGTAGTTCCAAGAGGAGCAGAGACAACATTTCTCCTGGGAGGCCACCCCTCTCTTTAGGAGCTTTTCCCTTGGAGAAGCTCGTGAACAGGCTCAAAGTCTGTCGGATTTGGGAAGGTTTGGTTCATGAGCACCTATCAGGAAACAGAACTGAGGCAAAGGAGTCCTTGGAGGCTACGTCCAGTGGATACCCACCACCATTCTCAGCATCCCAAGGGAATAGGAACAGTGGTTATGGAAAGTTTTTTCTTTCTCCTACAAAGCCGGATACCGACCGAGTGGGGATTGTGTTTAGCAGGAAGGATCACCCCTCTCCTCCTTGCTCCATGTCACTCAACCTCCTCAGGGTCTGGGAGATCCCTGTGCTTGGCATTCTGGATCAGGTCCTCGTAGGTGGTGGGGCAATAGGTTTTGTAGAGTTTCTCGGCCAGGGTGTTGCTGCCGGCCACCACGACCTTGCGGTTGCGGTTCATGAAGTTCCACAGGTGCAGCGCGTAGGAGTGGTTGAAGCTGGGGCTTTTATCCCACACCTGGTAGTACCGGCTCCAGGCTGGGTATGGGATGGGGTAGAAACGCTGGGGGTTGAGGAAGGAGATGTTCTGGCAGATGTGGTCCTCAGTGCCTTGGAAATCTGTCAGGTTGCAGAGTGTTTTGAGCATCCTGGTCATCAAAAAGGGGCCCTGGTTGCCCCAGATGTTGCCGTTGTACTTGAGAACAAAGTTCTCCATGCAGTCCCAGATGAACTTGTGGCGGGCAGGGAAGCCAAAGATCCCATTGCTGGAGAAGCGCGACTTCTGCGCAGCCAGGAAGCTCTCCTGGGGAATGGGCCGGATGGAGATGACATCCGTGTCCATGTAGATGCCCCCGTACTTCCAGATGAGCGCCAGTCTACTGGCGTCCGAGCTGACGTGCACCCAGTTCTTCTCCTGCTCCGGGACCACCTGCGGGGTGGGAAAGGTGAGACGTGGTGTTGTGGGCAGGGAACGGATCCAACCCATCCATGGGGCTGCAGATGGCACCATAAACCCTCAGCTGCATGGCTGCAAATGTTACTGACAGCTTTTGCTGCCTCCAGCTGTTGGGTTTTACTGGGATAAGATAAGGAGCTGGAGCAGAGCAGCGCTTTGTTAGCATTAGGAATGTGGGAACGTTTCCCAGGTGCTTTGATGGCACCTACAGTGTTAACCCAATGCCACCATGAGTCATTCCCTGCTATTTCAGAGGGACACAACCCACTTAACACACTCTCGGATCCCTCCCAGCTCTTTGAACCAGGCTGGAGGCTTTTCATCAGCATTTGTTGGCATTTGGAGTAATATTTTCTCACAAAAAGAAAGACTTTGGAGGAAATCTGCCTGCCCTGCCCAAGCAGTTTGACCAAAGCTCCTTGTGGGCAGTTTGCCCAAGGAATTTTTTCCAGGGTGGAGCTCACCAGATCCCACCTTAGCTTTGCATGTTGCTGTTATAGAACCTGAAATCTCTCCCCTATCTCTTATCTCCTGCGGGCTCCGTCAGTGTGAGGCAGCTCTAGCAAGTGTTCAGGCAGCACATTTTGTTCAACCAGCTTCTGTTGGGGAAGATTATTAAGGCTGTTTTCTCAAAACACGTCTGCAATCTATTTTTACTGATGTTTCCTTTGCCAAAAAATCCGATTCTCCAGATAAGGCTGATCATGTATGGCATAAACAGAGAGCTGGATACACTGCAGAAAGCGGCCAAAATTAATCTGTTCTCAACCAAAACAATGAAAGTCACTAATTTCACACAGTCCTGCATTCCTCATTCCTTTTAAAGCCTTTCCCCACCCCTAGTTATAACTCTTTTCCCATTTTCCACCTGTTTTAACACTCACCTGGTTGTACCACTGGAGCAGGGGGGTCTCCTGGAAGACGGTTTCCATCTGGAGAGGGAAAAGGAAGACATTCTTCATGGAAGACAAGAGGGAGAAGGCTGCGTAGCTGGTGTTCATGTCCAAGGCCGTCTCGTTGGTGAGTCCCCTCATGAAGAGGATGATGGGCCTGTCCTGGTAAATCCGGGCAGCGGATTCCACGGAGCACGACACCAGCGGGGGCGGCTCCAGGCGCTCCGTCGTCTCCAGGAAAATGATGCTTTTGCCAAGGTTCAGCACCTGCTCAGGTGTCAGGTACTGCTGGGCCATGGGCAAGTAGGAGAAGACACAGCTGGACAAGAGGGAGATCTCGTACAAAATGCCCGAGACAAAGCAGAAGCAGAGGCATATCTGGATTTTTCTCAACATTCTTTCTTTCCTGGAGCGTTTGGGGGCATGCCTCCGACATGGGTGCTAAGGAGAGACAAGGAACAGCAAAAGGAGGAGCCAGTTATTGCTCAGCAGGACTGGGAAGTGGAGGCACGTGGCTTTGGACTATGAAAGGTGAAGGCAGTTTGGTGATAGGCCTGGTGACAATCCATCTATGGGCACAGAGGGCTCTTCCCCCCAGGATGAAGATCTGGGGTCCCACCTCCTTGGCCCCAGCCAGGCAGGGGGAAGCAGGAAAGGTCCTGGAGAAGGGATGGGCAGCTGTGTCCTACGATGCAGGCATGGGCTTGGCAAGGAGGGAAGGACCCAGACAGAGCAGGTGGGAAGGGTCACCATGCCAAGGCAAGGAGCACCAAGAGCATCCCTGGGGCAGACTGGTGTGGGAAACTGCTCCCAAGCATTGCAGTGCCATTCCTACATGTGCTTGTCCCAGGGAACCTGTGGAGCCAAATGTGCCCATGGAATTAGGTGTCCCAGGAGGCCATGATCACAACAGGTTGTTCCTGAAATCACAGCCTTCTCAGGGGGAAGGTTGTGATTGCAGTTTGGGGTCTGCCATCCAGAGCTAAAGCATCAGCATGGCAAAGACTTCTTCCCAATCCATCCCTTCTGCTAACACTTCAGCCGTGAGGGATGTGAGGGACAGAGCTTTGTGATGGACCAAAGAGAAAAAGATGAGGATAGAAAGCAGATGGCTTCATACAAGGAAGGAATTATGACCTACCTGGATTATAGCCCTGACAAATCTACATTTCCAGCACCTTTTCTTGCCCTGGCGGTGACTGCTGGACTCCCGCAAAGCCCAGCTCCCTGGTGAGGACACCCAAACCTTCTGGAGCATGCAAAGGGATTTCTGGAGGTACGAGAACAGTGCACAAGGGAAAACCAGCTCTGCTGCTGGCTCAGTCTCAGTCCCAGAAAAGGTGTGGGATCCACCTAAAAGGACAAAGAAGGGACATGTTTGGTGGGACCCATCTTGTGCGGACACAGCTTCCCCCTCCCAGTGCCAGCAGCACACGAGCCCATACAACCACAGGGAGTTCCTGCTGATAAGAGGATGGAATGGGATCTGCACTGCACTGTCTGGTGACACAAGGAAATTCACTCCTGAAATGACACCTGGTTGCACCTGAGTGGCTCTGCAGGGACCAGGAGCCAGGGTCCAGCACAGGGGACATACCTGGAATGACAACTCAATGTCCAAGAGGCCCTGAAAGTGTCCAGAGCTTGATTGATTGAAGGGAATGGCAGGAAGCACAGCTCTGTGTGCTGGCATAATTAATGAGCCTCATTCCAGGTCAGCCTTCCAGAATACAGATAAGTCTGGAGCGGAGCAAACCCCATGGAAATTCCCTGACAGTGCTGAGCTTGTGCTTGGAGCTGTGGCAGCTCCCAATCCATTTCTCAGAGCTGGATCTCATCAAATTAAATATTAAAGCAGCGACTGCTCCCATCAGTGCTGCTTCCCATGCTGCATAACAGATTTTGTTGTTTTCCATTCCAGCTGCACGGGGTTTCTCATCACATCCTGCATTCCCAGGACAGCACAGGAGTTTGGGAATAAATTCTTGGCTGTGAGGGTAGGGAGGCCCTGGCACAGGTTGCCCAGAGAAGCTGTGGCTGTCCCTGGATCCCTGGAAGTGCTCAAGGCCAGGTTGGAACAATCTGGGATAGTGGAAGTTGTCCCTGCCTATAGCAGGTGTGGCACTGGATGAGCTTTAGTTTCCCCTCCAACCCAAACCTTTCTGGGATTCCATATTCTGTGTTAATTTTTCCAATCCCATTCCCAGTTCCTCTCGTTGTCCCTGCACTCTGCCGTGAGTGGCAGCACCTGGGGCCTCCCTGCAGATATGGAATTTGAGCGGAAGACAGGGATTGGAGAGCAAATATCCGCGGTTTGGAAAGGCCACGTTCCCGAGCCTGCAGATAAGGCAGCGTGTGCTGCCCCGTGGGGCTCAGGTGGAACACACATGTCCAGTCCAATCCAGCCCAGCCCCACAGGGCTTGAGAGACATCAACACTGACTTTAAAATAAACTACAGTGCTCAATCTCCTAATTTTCTCCTGCTTTTCCTACCTGCGCCTCATTCTCAGACAAGTGCAGTTAATTTACTCTGGTCTTTTGAAAAGAAGACGGAAAGAAAAAGTTGCTCCCCAGTAGCCCTCTCACAATCTCAGCTTGGCCACATTTTCAGTCTTCTGATTGTTGTTTTCTTTCCAGCCCAGAATGGTTTGGGTTGGAAGGGACCTTAGAGCTCATTTTGTTCCAACCCCCTGCCACTGGAGTTCACCCCCTTAGACTCCAGGGCCAGGAAAGCTCAGGGGAATCCTTCCAATCTAACCTGGGTCATCCCAATCCTGGGGGACACCCAGTGGTGCTCCTGTACCCTTCAGACAGGGACACCTCCCACTAGCCCAGGTTGCTCCAAGTCCCATCCAAGCTGGCCTTGAACACTTCCAGGGATCCAGGGGCAGCCACAGCTTCTCTGGGCACTCTGTGCCAGGGCCTCTTCATCCTAACAGGAAGGAATTCCTTCCCAATATCCCATCTAACCACTGACAGTTAAAGCTATTCCCCATGTCCTGCCACTCCATGCCCCTGTAAATAATTCCTGCTGCTGCTCCAGTGCTGACCAGGGACTGGAGTCCCTCTGTTCCTTTTTAAATCTTGATGCCACTCTCCTGAAGCAGAAACCCCTGGCTTTGCTTTGATTAGAGTTGGGACCATGAGGACATTCCCATTACCGGATTCATATTTCTCCTTTGATGGCTGACAGATCCGATGTCTCTGGTCTTTATGAGCAGCCCAGCAAAGCTGTGCTCACAATAGTCCTTTAAATTCAAACAGTCTGGGAGGCATTTTATTTGCAAATTGTGGGCAGAGAATGAGGAGCCACTCCAACACCTCCCTGCTCTGTGCATGACATTGTGAAGAGAAACACGCATCTTCATCGGCTCATTCCGGGAAATTGTTTTGCTTGGCTGGTTTTCCAAAACCCCTGTGTGGCGAGTTATGAATTCTCATCACATTTGACCTGGAGGCTGCTGTTATCAAAATGTTCTCTTCCCTGCTCGAGTTAAAAGGACTGCGGAGCTGAATGTTAAAAATAAATCCCGGCCATTGAATAGATTACCCTGCTGAGTGGGATGATTCCAGGGATGGGCTGCTGCCTTGATGGCCCATCTTGTAAAGAGATTTCTTTTCTTGGGGCAATTTCCGTGTTTCAAGTGCAGGGTGAGGACGGCTGGGAGACTACAAGGGAGATTACTACAGATGCCTATGCTAACTGCTCAAGGTGGCCGTGAGACACAGGCTCTGGGAATGCAGTGGGATTTTGCCACCAGAGATGGGCAATGATGCTGCTGGGTCCTGGCCCTACACCCCCTGCACATCACACCCCTGGAGTCCCTGTGGTACACAAAGGGATGAGCCCAGGACAGCCCATGGGGCACCACCAGCCCCACAGGGACTCGGGCTCAGCTTGAACAAGAACTAAAACTCCTCATTGGCTAAAAACAATTTTTAACAAACAAACAAATAAATAAATAAATAATCCCCGCATCTACAGCTCACAGTTTGCCCAGCCAATGAGACCATTTCAGTTTTCTCATTTCAGTTTTAGGCTCTCCAAAGCGAGAGCTGCATCACAAACTGCAGTTCAAGCACCACGAGCAAATACTGCACATCTCGCAAACCCCACTGTCACTGAATCCGTAACCTCACAGCTCCTGGGATCCCTGGGGATTCAAAGCAGAGACCTCCTCCCTCTCTGTAGTTCTCCTCTGAGAGCCAGTGGGATTTGCCTTTGGGATGCACCCACCCTGTTTCTGGGAATAACCCCAGGCCAGTCCCTGATTTCCACACAGACAGCGTCTGTGAACTCACACCGGTTTATTTTTGAGTCTCTAAGGAAATTACAGCTTCAATCAAGCCAATGCACATGCACGCACACCAACCCCATCTTCATCACATTTAACACCAGGCACCAGGACAGCCTTTCCTAATGGAAAACCTGTGCTGAGGAACATATCGGGTTCAGGGCAGATTGATTAATTAATTAATCCAGCCCATCTGATGTGAAGGAAGGGGATTCTACCGAGCTGTGCCACACCTGCCTTCCCATTGTCCAACTCAACAGGGTCAGGGATAGCGCCAAACTCACCTGGGGGCTGCCAGGAGCGGGTGAGCAGTGCAGGCTGTTGGGAAGCCGTGCTGGGAGGGACCCACGGGCACTGGAGAGCCCCAGGAGCTGCTCTGCCTCGCCGTGTCCTGCCCTGGCAGGGCTTGGAGCAGCTTCATGGCTCTGCTGTTTGCATTCTCGGGGTGCCCAGATAAAGCTCAGCTGGGGCTGTGCTCTCCCAGCAGTGGCCAAAGGTGAGTCCCCTGCTCTGCCAGCGTCACTAAGGATGGGCGGGACTGGGAAAAGGCACCTTTTGGGGTTCAACCTTTTCTCTTTGTATCCAGATCCACACCTAGGGAAGGTGTTGCAAGGCAAGGAATTGCTTTGCTGAGTGGGATTGGTGCTCTGGGTACTTCCAAGGGAGGCAACGTGCGGGAATGTGGCAGGCACACTCTTCTCTCTTTCGGGATTTTTCATAGAGGAGCACAGAGGAAGGAAAGAGAAAACAATTTCTATTTCTGCTCCTTGTTTTTCCCCATGTGGAATGTGTTTGGATAATTGTTTACCTGGGGTGATGGCTTGATTGGATTCTGGTGAGGATTGTTTGCGCCTGATGACCAATCCAATCCACCTGGGGCTGGACTCTGGTGAGAGGGTCACAAGTTGTTAATTAGTTAGATATGGAAGTTAGAAAAAGTAGGTTTGTAGTTTTAGTATCTCTTTTAAATAGTATATTGATGTATTATAGCACAGTTATAATAAAGAAATCATTCAGCCTTCTGAACTGGAGTCAGACATCATCATTTCTTCCCACCAGGTTCACCTGCATTTACAATATGGGAGATTCAGGTCCCTTGGACAACTAACCAATATGATTAAGCAGAAGCTGTTTATTGTTTACCTTGCACACATATTTATAGATTCTACAAACTACTAAGTACACATTTCTTGATTGGTGTCTTTGTGTTGTTCAGTCATTTTTTGCCTGCATTTCTCAGAGTATATGATTGGTTACAGTCTAGGGGTTTTAAGTCTTCTGTTATTTAGTTTGTCTGGGACAGCAGAACTTGTAAGGAGAGCTGGAGCTGTGGCATCCAAAAAAACTCCCCAGTGCATCCCCCCCTGAACCAGAGCTGCTCAGCCCATGTGAGGACACCACATTTTCCAGCAGAGATGTGGCCCTGGCTCCAGCCACCATCAGCAATCAGGCTCTTGGCAGCTCTCCTCCTCATCCTTTCTCTTCCTATTTTTGGCCAAGCTGTAAATCCAGAAAAATTAGGAGAGCTGGAAGATTTGTCCAGCCAGTGAGTGCCAGCACCATGTGTTGCACCCATTTTCCACCCAAACCCCCACCTCTCTCCACCAGCAATGCTTAGA